ACACGTTTCAGACCGACACTGCTCCACTCCGACTTCGCACGCTGGTACGGATGGACCAGCTTGGATATCCATCTTTCCGTTTTTAATAGATTAGATTTTTGTTCTCATTAGATCATACATTTATTCCGGACGCCTGTTAGCCCGATGACAGACCTTGTATTATTTCTTTTTTCTGTTTGCGTTTCTGTTTTGACTGTGAGACTATGTTGACTGTATCTGTTTGATATTTTGGGCCCGTTTTGGGGTCTTGATCTATGTACAGGTTGGGGATCCAGCCCAATCCCCCGCCCTTCGGGGCGTTGTTTGTTTAAAAAAAAACCTAGCAACTAGAGAGAACTAACATAGCAACTACATAAAACTAACCTAGCAACTACATAGAACTAACGTAGTTGGAAGGTTAGTTGTCAACGGTCAATGCCGGAAGTCAAAGGATTTCGCCGGAAGTCAACGGTCAACGCCGTACATATATATATATATATAAATATTTTTTTTAAAACGATAGACATTATAAATAAACACGAAATTACAACCGGTTCACTAACCGGAATAAAGGAGGTCTACCAAAAGTAGCCTAAATCACAACACTACATAACACACAAAATTTAAAAACCACACTAATGAGGAATACACACTCCCCATCAGGAGAATTCACACTCCTAAAAAGGAGAAAAAAACACAGATGCACACAACAAAAATAAACCTAAAACAAAGCAACACTAACAACACAACAAAAAAACACAAAACAACTAACAATCAAGCCCTTCCCACAACAATGAAGCCAAACTGAACACCAACAACACCGACACCCAAGGCCGATTACCCTCATGAACAAGATCCCGTTCCAAGCCGCAAATTCAGAAAATGCAGATAAATCTCCTAACCAAATCTGAGACTAAAGAACCTAAAGCCTCGCCCGAGTAGACAACCCCAATGCCCACAACCAGAGATCCTCAACATACTCCACCTCCCAAGACCCAGCAACCCAGGTCCAGGACACACGACCCACCCCGACCCGAGCCAACTCCGCTAACACAACCAAAAAGC